ACACACAGTCAAACTGTTTTTCCATGTTGCAAATAAAACAAAGATTTGCTGTGATACTGTCTTTATGCTTCAAATGTTTCATGTTTAATTCAATCAGTTAATTACCAATTCTTTGTAATTACTTATCAAATTTACTAACAATTTCTTAATGAAAATAAAAAAAGTAAATCATACACCATTTTTTAAATATAATTTTACAAATCCTAAACTTTTTAAAATACTAAAAGTCTTGTAACCTAACTTTCTAGTTGGACATTACATTACATACAAACCTATCCGTCTCCACCCCCTGATTCCTAAACCCACCCATCTCCACCCCTAAACCTACCCATCTCCCCCCCTAAACCTACCAATCTCCACCCCCTAGTGGATCCAACCACACCCCTGGATCTTGTGCTCTGCAGTGAGGAGCTACTGCCTACCAGACCCAAGGTCACACAAATCAATATTACTGTAGATACTGACCCAAAACACATGCAACCACACACAGACATGTGCCTCATTAATAACCCTCTGCATGAGAAAATGTACACAAATATGCTAAAGAAATCAGCAGTTCTCAAGCTTTCAAAAAATACACGTTTATGTGCCTAAAAGATGCAATTAAAATTTTCAAAGGTTGTATGTTGCCCTTGGTTTGCCCTCAAAACTCAAGCTGACCTAAAAAGCCACTATGTATCTCAGCATTCATGACGATCATAGGACAGCCTATTCATTTAATGTTTGTCCAAAAATGGGCTCAGCCCACTGTGTCATTGGACCTGTGTGTAATCAGACTGCTGGTGATAAACGAAGTAATCTGTGGTATTGGCAACCCGCTCACTCATGCTTTCTTTTTGTGTTGGCTGGTTGGGAAGGACTGTCAGTCAAACTGATGGGGCTGTCCAGCAGACACTCTTCACAGCGGCCTTATGGGAGAACTGCAACAAACGTCCTGGGTTTTAATCAAAACACCAGCCACTTTGCCTTTTGTAATGTATTAAATTGACATTCAGGGGTTATTCACAATGTGCCTAACAACAGTCTTACATGAAATGTGAAAAATGCCTAATAATCGGGTTGATCACAGTTCATTCAAAAGTTTGGGGTTGGTAAGATTGTTGAACATTTTTGAAAGTCTCTTAGCTCACCAAAACTGCATCTATTTTATCAAAACTGCAGAAAAAATAGGAATATTGTGAAATATTATTACAATTTACATCTGTTTTCTGTTGTAATATATTTTAAAATGTAATTTATTCCTGTGATGGCAAAGGTGAATTGTCATCATTACTCCAGTCTTCAGTGTCACATGATCCTTCAGAAATCAATCTAATATGCTGATTTGGTGCTCAAGAAACATTTCTTATCATTATTATAAATGTTGTAAACAGCTGTGCTGTATATGTAAAGCTACAGTACACTCAATATGTCCATGGTGCAGTCCATGGTGAACTTTCTGAAAAATAATAACCCATATGGCCTGAGTAATGAACACGTGACCATTAATGCACTCCGGAGTCCTACATAAAAACATGAAATAGCTGAGACAATCAAAGGGGAGCAGAAGTGTTTTATCTCGGAGGATCAAAATAACTATGTCACGTGTCAAAGTGCTTGATATCACCTCACAAACATTAAAGGCTCTACAGTATTTTCATGCTGGCTGTGCAGACATTTGATATTCAGTTACCCATAATGCACCAAACGCTGTTTCTTTGATGGATAAAGGAAGGGAGTGAAACACTGAACGGCTGCCATTACAGAGTGAAGTTGGAGGCCATGATATAAGAAGAAAGGCAAACAGTCACCAGAAGATCTTCTACAGTCTTCCTTACCATGGCATTTTTGTTATCACAGAAAACTAAATGCTGAGTGACTTGACTGATAAAAAAAAAACTACAATCCCTTGCCCTTTCAAAAGAGTGTGAAAGTTTTATCCAATCTGAGCTCCTCCATTATACAGTACTGTAGGAGGAAAGTGTGTGATTCTACAGATAGGAAGGATAACAGAAAGGTACATTTTGCTCCCCTGCCTCACATATACATTCTCTCCTTGAACTCTTCTGCACAATCTGAGCGGTGAATGAATGCCTTCGAGCACTTAACACAGTGCTGGAGTCAGGGGAATGAACAGATGACATCTATCAGACTGTGTAGAGCTGCACAAAAGTCCCTATGCTCTGTGGCTTCATAGGGAAACAACAACAACAATAATAATAATATCAACAAATTAAAATAAATAAATTTAAATTAATGAATCAATGAATGCACACCATGATGTTGAATTTACATTAATAGCATTAATTATATGTATGCTAATTTATTCATTAAATTCAAATTCAGATGCATCCTGCTTGCTACCTTAAATCAAATTCTGAAATGTAATTAGTTAAAATATAATAAATGTAATGAATTGAAGCATTAATTACATGTATGCTAATATATTAAACATATTCTGTTACACCAAATACACAAAATAATGATCTTTAAAAAAGCATCATATGACCCCTTTAAATTTCAAACTCACCCTGCTTCTACCTTTAATAAAATTCTGAAATGTAATTAGAATTTAACATGCATATGCAGTCTGCGTAACGCATAAGCCTTTTGCATTTATAGGTTTAGCACAGAGAGCATTTAAAATCAAAGGTGAGACTACTATAGAATAAAAGACGTCTTGTCAATGTCAGCATGTCAAGCTGACAACAATCCCCCTCAAACATCTCCAGAGGTTTTAGTGTCTGACAGTAACTGGTAACACCCAGACTGTTCATCTTTCGCACTGATGAGCTAGCCGGTCTGTTACCACCTTCTAGCTAGGCGAGAGCGATTGTCCTCCCCTAGCTTATTTCGCTGCTTTTCTAAGATTGATGACAGCAGCCGTCGGGTTCTAGACGAAAAGATCCATGAGACAATTCCGAACCTCAATTCCCCATATGACAGCAATTCAACAGAAAATGGGCCATTGACTTTTTTTCCTTTAAGCAGTCCAATTCAACCAAACATCACTATGGCTAAATGCACAGAATTCATCTTCATTCCAGCGCAATAAGAGAGGTGAGATGCCCCATCCATCTACCCGTAGACAAAAGTATGTCCATGACGAAATAATATCATATTCCTTGGGCGGCTAACCAAATTAGGAGATCTAAATTGGAACAGAGCTTCTCCATCAAGACAATGAGTCAATTATCTTGAATGTTATGTCTCCATTAACTATGCCATCCATCTTCTTTCCACTCCTTTTGTCTTATTAAATAAATCACTAAAAAAGGTGAACGGCCCAAGAAGTTTTCCTCATTTTCCTGCATGTTTCATCATAAGAGGAACATCAAGGTTTCCAGGCTCTCTCTGGTCTAAAAGTTGCTACTACACCTGTCGACTACACCTGCCTTTAATATTAAAAAGGAAGAGTGGGGACTTTGAAGCCTTCAGAAGCAGATGACATTCAGCGTTATCATTAATCATTTCAGCTGATGATGGGATTTACAATTCCAGGAAATCCTGTTGAGATGCATAGAAACTTTTTTAAGGTAAAACTGTCAATTGCAACACTGAAGTGTAAAAAACTGTTATTTCCTTTCTCACGAGCTGATTTACTCTCTTGTATTCAACTAAAAAGCTTATAGAGTAAATAAACATCCCCATCGAGCTGCACCAAACACACCATCAATCTTTCTGTGTCTGCATTCATGATTTTAAATATAAACAAAATAGAAATAATATAAGATGGTCTATGACATCTATGACAAAGGGTGTCACTGTCAAAGATAAAGTAATGGAAAAATATTTGAATACATTTGACATTTTACATGCATTTATTTATTTATCTTATTTTATTTATTTATTACAAATAACATTATTAATTAATACATATTATGTTTTTAGGAAGTCACTACACTGTAAAAAATTTAAAGTAAATAAAACAAATTTTACTGGAGTATGATTTAAAGAAAATGTACAATTTCAGTCTTTATACTTCACAATTTCACATTTAATTTAATGTGTTACTTGCCATTTCTTTGTAAGTAGTTTTGAAATTTACTTGCAATTTCTGAAAGAAAATTTTTTCTATTTTTTTCAGTGCACAACCTGAAATAAATAAATAAAATAACTAATAAAAATACATAAATATATAAATACACTTGAATTCAGCACATGCTCTTCATAAAAGAGGTCTATTCAAGCCACTGTAATTCATAACCACATGTAATTCATTTGATCTTACATAATTTTATTTTTATATAAATATAGGCACAATTATAATTTTACATTTTACACTACTATTAAAAAAATTGGGGTTGGTAAGAAAACGTCTCTAGGTTACGTATGTAACCATGGTTCCCCGAGGGAACGAGCTTCGATGAAGTAACGCCTGGAGGGATGCAGGGAGTATGGCAAAGAGACGCAGCATCTCGTTCCCTCGGGGAACCATGGTTACATACGTAACTAGAGACGTTCCCCTTCAGGAACTCGAGCTGCGTCGAGAGAAAACGCTTGTCTAATTACTTTTAGGACGAGCGTCCTGTTTCTCGGCTGGCCAAACGATATTTTATTTTGGCTACTGCACGAGTCACACCTCATACGCGAGGGACTGTGGTGGCGAGTCCACAGTCTCCTCTGTCTCGACACTCATCTGTCTCGACACTCATCACATCCACCTCGGAGGAGGATCGCGAGCCTGGCCGCTCTCATCAAACACAGCCAGGCGAGAGCGGAGCATACGCAGCGAGAGTAACTCACAGTGATGACAATCAGCTCCCTCGAAAGCTGACCGTGCATGCTCCGCTCCTAAACAAACACACAGATCGTGTGTATCCCCCGCTGCCAGATAGCATGGGCACGGAGGCACACAACGTCTGTAATGCCGTTTGCTCGCCATAGATATTAGTTTAGACTTTGACATATTCTTTTGAATGCGTGTGGACTGACAGACAACAGTAAATAGACTGACACATACACAGAGCGCTACTGAAGAGCAGAAGCTAATTTGCGCTCTGCCGGATGCGCTTTTATACTTCCTGGCGCTCACGTCACCCCGCTCGTGACGTCTCGCTGCTCCATTGGATTGATTTTACACATGCTTCACGCAGGGGCGTTCCCAAAGCGAATCTCGATGCAGCTCGAGTTCCTGAAGGGGAACTGTCAATTGCACCAACAACCCTGCAGCGCCCACCCAAAAAAAACGTGATTTCCTCATCCTCATCAAACTGCACCAAACAAACCATGAAACCTTGTGCTTTAGTGACTGCGTTCATGATTTTAGAGTCTTAATAAGGTTCCTGTGTCTCATTTTTGGTGCAGATGTGATTGTGGTGATGCTGCTCTAATCCTGCGCACACAGCATGCGGATGATCAGATAATCCCCCGGGGGTGGGTTGAAACGTTTAATCATGCCTCCTGGAGCTTCGCCATGCATGACCTCATCCTTACCTCTACAGCTTCACTACAATTACAGAGCAATTAAAATCTGAGCAAAGCTTACAGTGCATTTCAGACATATTAAGGCTATTTTTTTTAAATATATTTTTTCAAATCTTGTTTGTTGAAAACAGCTTTCTGTATACCAGAAAATAAACAGTTGTGTCACTGTGGTCTGGATGTATTTACATCCTAAAACAGGCTGTAATTTAGCAACAATCTGGCTCTGTTCTTGTTTTGTGGAGGATGTCAATTCTTTTGACAGTAGACATCAGTTTAGAACTCATATATCTGTACTGACAGAAGTTCTGTTTACTTAAAGTTGGAAGTTGGAAGGTTTGAGATGTGGGCTGATACAACGTGAACCACATTTGAACCCAAAACTGTTGTACGCGCACCGTCTGTGGATACAAAAATTGGGCTGTTCGTGGACAGTGAGCACTGACGTCCATAGACTGTCCTGGTGATGAAAATTACATCACACGGACAGTGAATGGACCATCACAGAACATGGATGGACGGAGTATACTTTGAACTTAACATATCATTTAGTTTTTAATCCACAAAAGAATATTTTTTTTTTCAGTTAGTAAGACAAAATTTTCACCATATTATTTGCACTGTTATTTTTTTGCAAGTAACACAAAATAATAATTTTGAAGAATTTTCACACAGCTGTTTATTGTGACTACATCTATCAAGCTCCAAAAAACCCCCAAAAAACAGAATATATAACATACAATATTATGTCTTCTGATGTCATGTATTAAAGGTCACCATAGGCGTAATTTGCGGGTGGGACGGGTGGGACATGTCCACTAGGGTCATGTATGCTGTAGCCTGCTGTGGATTGGTGATACTCACAAGTAAGGTCAATAGAAACACCGGTAATGATGGTCACTGCTGAGGGAAATGCTGTCCGGCCTTACATATTTGAGCCGATCTCAGACCCCGAATCGGCGACGACAGGTGACAACCAACCACCTCCTGAAACGCGCTTACAACAGGATGCTTCAGAATGGTAATTCATGTTTTTTTATGTTTATTATTTTGGCACCGTCGGCTCCTGAAAGTGGACTCCCAAATAAAAATGTTCACACATGTTTTTTTTTTTTCATGTTGCGCTCTACCCCTAGACGGGGCGTAACACCATAGACTTATAGTCTAAATGAAACAATTTGCAACTGTTACTATTATTACACTTGTATACAAAACTTTGTATTATGCTTGTTATAGAGTGTGTGACGTCAAGTGCACTACCGCCGGCGGCAATAGACAACGGTTGAAGCGGTTGTAACGGCGACCATCACAGCCCTACTGTGCAATGATGTAGTTTCCTGACATCCAGACTGAACAGCGTTTTCTCGACATGTTTCCGTGTTGTTGTTGCTCAGCAATGGCATGGACGCAGTTTTGACAATATGGGACCTTTAAATAAAATATTATTTAAATAAAATAAATATAGATCATTATTTATTATTTAAAACTATAAATATTATTTATATATCATATATTTATTTTTAAATAATTAGAATTAATATTTATATTTGATAAATCATATACACTATTTTTATTGCACTGTTACAATCGTGAGTTGAAAACTCTCCCTTTGTGTTGAGCTGAAAAAATAACAGCATACAGGTTTAAAACAATGAAAACAGAATTTTTCTTTTTCTGGTTCATTATTACCTTTCTCACTGGTGTGCCTACAAGATATTTCCAAAAGTGCTTCTATAACCATAAGAAATCTCAAAACAGACATAATACATTAGAAAAAAAGACACTAACAATCATGTCACATGAAAGAAAACCTGCTGAGTTTGTTGTATAAAATGTCTTGGATGTGTCATTTTTCTGTAATGACCTAAGAGAGGGGCAACAGTGCCTTAACTTCACACAGCTTATGAATAAGTACGGCATAATAGATAATAATAATAAAAAAAAAACTAAAAATCAACAACAACAAAAAAATCCATTATTATAGAAAATTAATGAAGGTGTGTGTTTTTGAAGTTGCTGGGAACATATCAGGGAACAGGGACTGTTTTTTGACTCGGGCATTTGTATAATTAGTGTATACTCATTACAGTAAATCAAGTTTCCCTCTCTGTTTCTTATGGCCTTTGTGCTCATTACAATTTTTTTTTTTAATTCTCAGTTTATCCCTTTTAACCATGTCTCAGCATCCAACAGGTAGTGCGGTTCCTAATAAGCTCATTAGCAGTCCAGACAGCAGTAGGAGGGACGGTCCGGGTGGGTCTCTCTCAGAGGACACCACAGCTGTCTCTACAGGGAGAGCGCTTTAATTAGATGTCACACGGCAGAGGAGATGCAGACTCATTCAGTACAGGACTTGGCTGACACACTAAAGAAATGACATGTCTGGTCATGGGCAACAAGCCATTTGGGGTGTTTTATTTGTGAATTCAACTATTTTAATTTTGTGATCCTGTAACTGGGTAAACTGGTTTCATTTTGCAAGACGTAATATAAAAGGGTCAATGACATAAAAGGGTGTCAACGATAAAGAAATAGGAAAATCTTTTATTATGTTTTAGTGAACATCTTCTAAGTCATATTTCCAAATAAATAAATAAAAAATTAAATGCTTTTGAAAAAAAAAAGGAAAAATGTATAGATGTACTGAATTTGTAATGTATTTTTGAATAAATTAAAATGACAAAAATATGCTTCATATAATTAACCCAAAAGATATTTTAATATTTTTTTATATAATCATATGTATAATTATATTTTTATATTTTACACTACCACTCACACGTTTGGGATCATTAAGATTTTTTTTAAAGGTTTTTGAAAGAATTCTATTTTCTCACCAATTCTGCATTAACATTTTCCATTTGAATATATTTTGAAATGTAATTTATTCTTGTGATGCAAAGCTGAATTTTCAGCAGTCATTACTCCAGTCTTCAGTGTCACATGATCCTTCAGAAATCATTCTAATATGCTGATTTGGTGCTCAAGAAACATTATTATTATTAGTATTGAAAATGGTTGTGCTACTTAAAATTTCTGTAAAACCATGAAGCATTTTTTTTAGGATTGTTTGATAAATAAAAAGCATTTATTTAAAATAGAAATCTTTTGTAACATTATAAATGTCTTAAGTGTCATTTTTGATCAATTTAATTAATCCTCGCTGAAGAAAAAAAAACAAAAACTCCAACATTCAACATTCGTTCTGGCTCCAACATTTTGAACAACAGTGTATATCTATAGACATTCACACATTGATCCCGAGGTTCTTTTTTCCACTTCTTTCATAACTAAACCATAACATATGAGATAACGCACATTTGAAGTCAGTCCTTTTAATTGTCAGCAACATCCAAAACAACAGAAGAAAAACACAAGACATGTGAAAGGCTGACTGATGGCTGAATGGAGGTACATCAGACAGACCACAAGCTTCATTAACTCTTCATTCTCATGAAAGAAATTGAAGTAATGGGGAGAAAAGAATGAGATGAATATATCATCTTCACAACAACTCAAACAACCCAAACTTACACAGTGTGTGGAGCAAAGTGAAGAATTCTGAAAGAGCCATTTAATTTCCCCAGTGCAAACAGTCATACGGTGGGTGAGTCACTGGAATAAGGGACATAATTGAAGCTTAACAGACAGAGGAAAGCTTAATGGTGGGATATTTTCCCCTAACAGTCAACGTGGCAAGAAATGAAACATTTTTCTCGCTAGGGCTGACAGTAAAGCTGTCTTCTGAGACGACAGCCGATTATTCATCATAAGTACTTTGAAAGTTTAAAACTTTGACACATTCTATTCTTCCTTTTGTTTGATGTTTTAAACAAGAGCAGCGGGGTACCACAAATCTTGGGGGTCCAACTTAAAACTATATGACAGGACACCCTTTTTTATCCCTTTTTGTGCTGATTTTCTGTTCATCTTTGTAGATTTCTATCATCTAGAAAGTGTCTTCTGGTGGGAAAAAATTGGTGCGAACGAATGGTGGGATGAACAACAGACAGACAGACAGACAGACAGATAGATAGATAGACAGATAGATGTTGTGATGGGTCAGGCCCCCTGCCACTGATGGGTGTCCCGCATGATACGGAATAAAAGAGTATCCTGTGAATATAATGCCCTGTAATTGCACGAGATGTTTTGTTGGGCTCGAATGTATGCGAGCAATTAGAAAAGCATTTACAGTTTGCTTTGCCAACTCAACAGCTTGCATTCCATCGTTATCCAAACTCACTGCCTCGTGCCAAACCACACAGCCCTACAGGCACACAAAATCTGAAACCTCATCCTTGGCTAGAGAGAACTCCTTCACAGCCTTCCCACTGGGACACGAAAGTTCTGTAGCCTACAGCATATGCTCTGTGATGTTTTATTACTTAGTATTATGGCATCTACCCTGCTACTTCTCTTCTTTGCCCTGGTCAGCACATAGTTTGGGAAGAATCAGCAGTCTCTTGATGTTTCGGGAAGCTTTCATTCTGCTGTTTTTTTGGTTAATTTGCTCTGGCGTATGTACAGGCCCCAAATCACTAGACTCTGACAATATCAGTATTTGTAAACACCGCCTGGCCAGACAATCAAATGCCATGAGAGACATGAAAAATATTGGAGTGGTAAGGCGGAGTATAAATGATGCATCAGAGTAGACTAGTATGCAGGCCTTTGACACTTAAATGACCACTGCTGTGTGCGCCGAGAGCAGAAATGGCTGTTTTCTACACACAAAAACAAGACAAAAACTATTTTTGTACCTACAATAATCATTCAACTTAATTATGAAAAGGTACAAATACTTCAAGGCACACAAAATCTATGACTGCATGCACTGATCTATACGCTGTTTTACATTAGATTTTTCTAGATTTTTCTAGTCCAACAAAAAATCAACAACAACAACATCTAAATATCTATATAGACAAAATACATTTATTTAAGAAGCAAGAATTGTTTACAGAGAACATATCTTACACGGATATTCTTGTTTTAAGCACAAATCTAACTAAATTTAATGAGGTTTTTGCTTTGAAAAAAAAAATTACAATCTGACAATGGGGCAAGATGCATTAAAAATGTGTTCCCTCAACACAATTTTACTTCAAGTCCAATAAATTTACCTTGTGTAGATATTTGCATTGGAATACAAGAGGAAAATACTGAATAAAATAATTGTAGGATGTACATTCGAATCTGATTTGTTTCTCTATGCTCTACCCTTATTTTTGTTTGAGAGGAAAGAAAGAAGTAAAGCCTGGGGAAATCAGAAGAGGATAGTGCAGTCAAGGATCTCCCACCCTCAGAATGAAAGCCTTCCATCAAAGTTCATCAGCTTTTTTTGTCACCTCGTCCACCTCTTTTTCTGACAGGTAAAAAAAAATGCTTAAAGTCCAGATAACGGTCGCCAGACTGTTATTTTTCTCCCGGGATGATAAAAACGTAAACATACTTTTTTTAGTCTCTCAAAACTCCAGAAAATAAGCCCAAACATTACAGCGTAAGTGCACCTGCCACTTTGAAAACTATTAGGGCCTATTTGATACGCTGCTGATAATTAGAACGCATAATTATCCAATCCCATCATCTCACCAATTACCAACTTTTAATCAAAGCTTTCAATTGTGGTGAACAAACCATCCTTTTCTAAAACCACATACATGATTAATAGTAAAATAAATAAATAATTACACAAATACCTTGAAGGGCGTGTTACACAACTGGCCAAAAATGCTATTAAAATTATTTAAACAACAAAGATGAATGAATATTTTGCAATCAGACATTGTGGGGTCTTCTTTGATTTGCAGGACAATCATCTACCCTAACCTACCCATACATCTCTCTGGCTCTCTTACACTGATTGGCCCAAGCAGGTCAATATCATCATCTGACGACCAAATGCTTTGTCTGAGATTTGATTTGAGAGGGCAGTTAAAGGTTTGATTTCTCGGTCAGGACATGGAAGTGCTTGGCTCATTGCCTACATGCTTTCTAAAGGAGAGATGAAGTGTTTGAAGAGTTTTTCTGCACATGAATGCTGTAGTTAGGGTGACATACTGCATTCATAAGGCTGCCTGGTCTTTGTGAACTTGACAAAACTCAACACATTGTCACTTAGATGATATACAGCAGTAAGTGAACACAGATTTAACAATGTTTTGAAATCTTTCATATGATATCAACTAGTTTTGAACCATTTGATTTTGATACAATGGTCCGTTAGTTCAACTGACACATTTGAACTGTTCTAATTGTTCATCTAAAGTCATCTTTAGAAATCTACAGTTCTCTCAATTGATCTTCACCTTATCCTGAAATTAAACCTAATATATTAGCCAGCAGAACAGTAATGATCATCCAACTGAGTCACAATTCATATTTGTACTGTTTCTGTTTCAAAATGGATCATGATTTCAGAAACACAGTTCTCAGTTCTAAATCAGAGTTTACACACACAACATAATATGGATGTTACATTCGTTATTGGCCATTACTAGTCCATTAGTGCTGGACATAATTTCCGAGAATCATATCTTGCTTATTATGCAGAACAAAACAACCTCTCTCTTTCTAGGATAATACATTTGTCAAAAACCTCTCCATTGCCTCACTGCACACATTAGGGTTTGCTGTTCTTATGATTCAGAATTCTCATCCATTCAGAATTTACAAAAACACATCTTTAAGCAATTAAAGAAGATTGCGACAAGCAAATAGTCAGTACTAGGGATGTCAAAAAAAACTCACACTTTAATACTAAAACAAAACAAAATAAAACAAAAACGTCATTACCGTTTAAAAGTCTTGTTTTTGAAACAAAATATCTTATGGTCACCAAGAACATATTTGATCAAAAATATAGTAAAAACAACAATATTGTGAACTATTATTACAATTTAAAATAACTGTTTCCTATTTTAATATATTTTTTAAAGTAATTTACTGCTGTGATGGCAAAGCTGAATTTTTAAATCTTCAGAACATAATCCTTCAGAAATCATTTTAATAGGCTGATTTGCTGCTCAAGAAAAACTGCCTAATATGTTTGAGGAAAGTTATGCTTTTTTAGGATTCTTTGATGAATAGAAAGCTTATCAGAACAGCATTTATTTAAGAATTATTATTATTATTATATTTTTTGTCAATTTTGCTCAATTTGTAGTTCACAAAATAAAAAAATAAAAGCTTCAACAACCCGCCTAAACAAAAAAGTCATCAGTTGCAGTGAAAGTTTGTAAATGGACAATGATGGGCAATATACCATAAAACATAATGTTGGTTCTATACCTTTGTAGAAGCATTCCTCGCTGTGCATGATGGTTATTCTCTGATGGGCCATACAGGAGGCTCTGTGAAGCTCACAGTGGTTCTGGTAGAGTTTGCCATCAGATCCGCACACAGGTTTATAATGTGGTTTGCAACTTTCCAGACACTGACATTCTCCTTCACCTGTTTCTCGGTCAACCACACAGTGCTTTCCCAAACCACAGTACTTATGTTCACAGGGCCCAGGAAAGCCATTCTGACCAAAGAACCCTGTAAAGACACATTAGATAGAGGGGAAATCATGTTAATTTGTAATATCACGCAAATATGATGAAGCATGCTATGCTAATTCACTTGAACAACTACATAAACACGCATCATTATAGGTCAATGCGTTCTTTTATACAGGGTTCAAGGTATAAATATATTTTTTATCCCATACTCAACTGAACAATAAACTTACTGTATTTTAAAACACCAACTTTACAATACAAAGCATGGTATAAAATAGTAGAGCTAGAGAGGCCATGAACAATCTCACAACCATTTTGCCATACAATGCAGTTGTTTTGTATTTGTGGTGTTTTGACAGTGCTGGCAGGAGTTGAGAAACCCTCTGGAGGAAACAATCCCACTGCACTCATGATATGCGGGCTGTATGGGCTTTAGATGAAATATGTATGACTGTAATAAAACATAGCCTGAGCTCTAGCACGCTTCCCCTTATTATCAATTGCAAAGATGTGAGCTCCACTCCTCTTTCAGCTGATAATTTCATAGAGATTAAGAATTGAAAATGCACAGTCACGTTTCAGCTCTCAGTTCCCCTGCTAGACAATGGCAATTAAGTTTAAGAAAGAGAACTTAATAAATAAAGCTTGTAAAAGCCGTATATAAACTCTCAGGGATTGTATAAAAATGACAGAAGCACTTCTTTTAGGAACCTTTTGATTGTATTGTCTTTTGATGTCTTTTACAGCACTCATTATTTATTTAATAAAAACATTTTAACATCACGTTTTTGTGTCAAATATAACTTCACTTAATTCACAAATTCACTTAATATTTGTTTTTTTTATTGTAATAATTTTAATTTTTAATTATATGAAAATTACATTAAAATAATAATTGAAATTAAAATGTAAACAAAAATTAAATATTGATTGGATTGTACTATAAGAAAAGGAATGTGTATTAAATAAATTAGATTAATTTTGATTTCATTTTTTTCTACTTACAATAAATAAATAAATAAAAATGAAACAACTCCATGACAGCTACACATTCATTTACACATTTTTGCTGGAAAATGTGGCATATGTTGCAAACTATTCTTAATTTGTCATTTTCAACCCCCTTTAACAGACTTCCAAGTCACTCCTGTAATTTCATAACTTTATGGATCCAAGATGGCGCCGCAGATGACTGCCTCGGTGTGGAGCTCTCCAGCTGTTTCACTGTTTTTGTTAGTTTGTCCTGTTTTTTGTTTCTCAAATACAATCAGTTTTACTAGGGAAGAACTGCTGAACATTCAGCAGAACACACCACAGCAACGGCGCTGTTCAAGCGTTCTAAGACGCGCAACCGTGGGAAGCAAGCCGACGCTTGTCAAGCTCAGACAGCGCGGCTTTAGAACGGCACTGCTTAGCATCCATCTGGCAAATCTCTACTCTCTACCCAACAAAATGGACAAACAACTTCTGCTCTCCCAAAAAAATAAGGATTTTTCAAACTCTGCTGCTCTGTGATTCACGGAAACCTGGCTGAATGAAGCCATTCCGGAGGGTGCATTGCATCGGCCGGCCTTCCAGCTGTACAGGGCAGATCGCGACACAGAATCAATGGGGAAATCGCGAGGCGGTGGGACATGCTTTTACATCATTGAAAGGTGGTGTACAGTTGTAACAGCATTGAAGAACATGTGCTGTCCTAATCTAGAAACGCTCTTCATCAACTGTAAGCGGTTTTACTCGCCGCAGGAATATTCCTCATTCATCCTGGTTAGTATTTACATTCCTCCGCAAGCGTGTGTGAATGCAGCGCTGCAACAGCTGGCTGATCAGATCACAGACACGGAGCAACATCATCCGGACTCTGTTTTAATCCTTCTCGGGGACTTTTATATAAAGCAAACCTCACACATGAACTGCCAAAATTCAAACAACGCATTACATGCCCACTAGAGACAAAAATATTTTAGACCACTGCTACACCACAATAAAGGATGCATATTGCTCCGTCCCCAGAGCAGTTTAGGACTCTCTGACCACTGCCTGGTTCATCTTCTCCCAACATGGAGGCAAAAACTTAAATCTGCTAAGCCTGTAGTAAGTACTGTAAAGAGATGGACCAACAAAACAGAGCAGGCATTACAAGCCTGATTCGACTGCACTGATTGGAGTATTTTTGAAGCTGCTGCCACCGATCTGGATGAGCTCACAGAGACTATAAGATCATACATCAGTTTCTGTGAGGATATGTGCATTCCTACCAGGGCTTATTTAACATACAACAACGACAAACCATGGTTCACAGCAAAACTCAGACAACTTTGTCAGGCCGAAGAAGATGCCTACAGGAGTGGGGACAGAATCTTGTACAATCAGGCCAGGAACAAACTGAGATCAGAGTGGCTAAGAGGAGCTACTCTAAAAAGCTGGAAAGCCAGTTTTCAGCAAACGACCCTACTTCAGTGTGGAAAGGCCTGAAAGACATTATGAACTACTGTACAAGATGCCATCCCCCAACTCTGTAGGGAATCAACAACTGGTTGATGACCTGAATGAATTTTACTGCAGGTTTGTTTGTGGACTTCAGTTTGGCCTTCAACACCATCATCCCAAACCTTCTCCAGTCCAAACTAACCCAGCTCTCTGTATCTAGCTCTATCTGTCAATGGATCACCAGCTTTCTGACAGATAGGCAACAGCTAGTGAGAATTGGTAAATTCCCATCCAACAACCATCATCACTGCACTGGCACCCCCCAGGGATTTGTTCTCTCCCCACTGCTCTTCTCCCTGTACACCAACTACTATACCTCTAATGACTCCTCTGTCATGCTCCTGAAGTTTGCGGACGACACTACAATCATCTGCCTCATCCAGGATGGTGATGAGTCTGCTTATAGAAGCGAGATTAAACAGCTGGCTGTCTGGTGCAGTCTTAACAACCTGAAGTTTAACATGCTCAAAACAGCAGAGATGATAATGGAGTTCAGGAGAAACCCCCCTGCACTCCGCCCACTCACCATCATGAACAGAACTGTGGCTGCAGTAGAGTCATTCAGATTCCTGGGCACCACCATCTCTCAGGACCTGAAGTGGGACAATCACATTGTGAAGCAGGCCCAGCTGAGGAAGTTCAACCTGCCACAGGAGCTGCTGATACAGTTCTACTCTGCAGTCATTGAATCCGTCCTCTGCACTTCAGTAACTGTCTGGTTCAGCTCAGCTACCAAAACTGACCTTAGAAGACTAAAGCAGAAAGTCCGGACTGCTGAGCGAATCACTGGTACAACCCTGCCCATTCTCCAAGAACTGTACTCATCCAAAGTGAGTAAAAGGGATGGTAAAATCAATCTAGACCCCTCACATTCATGCCACTTCCTCTTTGAACTGTTACCATCTGGTCGGCACTACAGAGCACTGAGCACCAAAACAGCCAGACAGGAAAAGTTTGTTTCCTCAGGCCATCTATACTTATATTTATTATACGCATGTTATTTATTTAAAATATATCTATCCACATTCCATTGCATAATTTGTATATAGCATATATGTACATACATATACTGTCTATTGTCTTATTGTCTACTGGGTATTGTTTTTGTATATTTATTTTTAATCACTTATTTTTATTTTGTTATCGGTGTCTTGTCACTTGTCATCCGGTCTGTGCACTGGAAGCTTCTGTCACCAAGACAAATTCCTTGTGTGTGTAAGCACACTTGGCAATAAAGCTCTTTGTGATTCTGATTCTGATTGTACTATATATGTAAGCCAACAAGATAAATTTGGTGACACTAAAATTTGCCAAATTCACAACAATCATGTTCTATACATCATAGAAAACCAAAGTAAGTTTGTGAAACATAATAATGACACACAGTTGTGCTTTTATGTACAGTTTCCTTTACAGAGCGTTAGAGACCTTTTAGATGTGTGTAATTAAATGATGACCCCCTTCATCACATACCACATAATGAAGACCTTTTCACTGCAGGTTGTTGTAGTAAAAGGAGAAAATTGGCTTTTGCCAGCAGGGTGGACAGAAGCCAAGATAGTGTCTGATTGGTATGCACACAGTGCCTCACTCTGACCACGGTGACATCAAAGACAAATGACTAATTCAGTCGCAAACAATTTGTTATTGATGAGTCAGCTTTTCAAAGAGAGGAGACAGAGTCTGAGAGGGAGAGAAGGAACGTTTGATTCTCATGAAGGGTTTAGGTGAAGGTGTGGTGTCCGGCTTTCATCTGCCCACCATCAAACATGGACTTTTCATCCCAGTAAAAGCCAACACGAGAATCCTAAACAGAGTGGCATACATAACATTATCAAAGTCTGCACTAAAGTAACAGTACAAAGTAATACTCCAAAAAGCGAGCCAGCAAAAAGTTGACAGCAGCAAAAACAAACAAAAAAATATTCTCATGACCTGAAGAGGTCAAAAGAAATGCAGCGGCCTTCATCAGGGAACGATTTTTCTACCTGACACCGACAGCAAAGCCATGACTGAGCAATAACTAAGCACCACTCAGCCGGTTGGTCTCTGAACCAAGTGTCAGCCCTTAGGTGCTAATTATAGCAGATCCATGACATGCATGATAACTAATAAGAGCTCAGCACAGGGCTTCAGAATCAGATACAGTCATATGCCACAACTGTGTACATATACAGATGTACACCAGAAGACTTCCAGACAAAATAAAAGGACGAGCACATCAGTTACTCTGTATTTGTGAAGATTTTTTATTAGCTGTGAGAAAGAGCAACATATTGGAATAGAATTGTGAATGCTTGTCATATCTTAGCTATTGTAATTGATATCCGTCTGCACAAAGCCGTTTGTGATGACAAATAGAGTGATGTCTGGTTTCAGAAACAAAAAAAGTTCCATTCTTTTTCTCCACAGAGAAACTGATTTTTAACCATTCTGTGTAAATATTTCAAGGGAGACTTACCTCAAAAGATATAAGGTTATTAATCAATGGTATTATATATGTATGTTTTTTTTAAGCCATCACACAAAAAAAATAAATAAATAAAT